GTGCTGAGAAGGAAGGATGGAGTGTTTCACCAATGAGACATTTAGGAAACTAAACTAGAGAAAGAGCACCTCATATAGTATGCTTCAGTAAATATGAAGGGCTAGTGAAATGGATGCTGGAAACACTCGATCAATAGCTTATTTAAGTGGGAATATATGCCAGCATGGAAAAGTGATTGCTTTCCTGTCTGTGGGCTATCTTTGGAGAGGAGAGCAGCAGAATATTTGCAGGTGATCCGTTTGAATTAGACTACTTCACACTGGGGTGGTGCAGTGTATTTCTGAAGGGATTTCTTCAAAAATAGTCTGGAGAAGTTAACTCTGTGCATTTCAGTTCCCGCTTAGAGAGCTTTCAGTATCATTCAGGGAGATTCAAAGTGGATGAAGTCCATCCAAGGGTGAAGGTGTAAGCAAGGACCTTTCATCTATTTGATCATGAGTAATTAACGGACGTCTGATGTTTCTAATGTTTGCAAGGAAAGCAGTTGCTGTCGTCATGAAAATCATGATATGATTTTCCCTCAGGAGAAACTATGACTTGGAACGACACCACTATGGACGGGGAAGGGTTGCTTGTAGAAAGGGACTCTTCCTTTCGGATCCTTACGGGCTGCTTCCTCTCGCTGCTGATCCTCTCCACGCTGCTGGGAAACATGCTGGTCTGTGCAGCTGTCATTAGATTTCGCCACCTAAGGTCCAAAGTGACCAACTTCTTTGTCATCTCCTTGGCAGTGTCAGATCTTTTAGTAGCGGTTTTAGTCATGCCTTGGAAAGCTGTGGCTGAGATTGCTGGTTTCTGGCCTTTTGGTTCATTTTGTAACATCTGGGTGGCCTTTGATATTATGTGCTCAACAGCCTCCATCTTAAATCTCTGTGTCATTAGTGTGGACAGATACTGGGCCATCTCCAGTCCATTTAGGTATGAGAGGAAAATGACCCCCAAGGCAGCCTTCATCCTGATAAGTGTGGCATGGACCTTGTCCGTGCTGATTTCCTTCATCCCTGTGCAGCTAAACTGGCACAAGGCTACAACCACAAGCTTTTTGGACCTAAATGCCAGTTTACAAGATATAAGCATGGACAACTGTGATTCTAGCCTAAACAGGATGTATGCCATCTCTTCTTCTCTAATTAGTTTCTATATACCTGTGGCCATCATGATAGTAACTTATACAAGGATCTATCGGATTGCTCAGAAGCAAATAAGACGAATCTCCGCTTTGGAGAGAGCAGCTGTGCATGCCAAGAACTGCCAGAACACAAGTGGCAATAGAAGCAGTATGGACTGTCAGCAGCCAGAGAGCAACTTCAAAATGTCCTTCAAGAGGGAAACGAAGGTTTTAAAGACTTTGTCGGTGATCATGGGGGTGTTTGTGTGCTGCTGGTTGCCATTCTTTATATTGAACTGCATGATTCCCTTCTGCGAGCCTACCCAACCGTCCAAGGGAGCAGAACCCTTCTGCATTAGTTCCACCACCTTTGATGTTTTTGTTTGGTTTGGATGGGCTAATTCTTCCCTGAACCCCATCATTTATGCCTTCAATGCTGATTTCCGCAAGGCGTTTTCAACCCTGCTAGGATGCTACAGGCTCTGCCCTATGTCCAGCAACGCTATAGAAACTGTTAGTATCAACAATAATGGAGCAGTTGTTTTTTCAAGCCAACATGAGCCCAAAGGGTCCAGCCCCAAAGAGTGTAATCTGGTTTATCTGATTCCACATGCAATTATCTGTCCAGAAGAAGAACCTCTAAAAAAGGAAGAGGAAGGTGAACTATCTAAGACCACGGAGAAAATGTCTCCAGCACTGTCGGGTATCTTGGATTATGAAGCTGATGTTTCTTTGGAGAAAATCAATCCCATTACACAAAATGGGCAGCATAAAACCTGAACAGTAAGGTCAACCCAGCAAGAGCTAATAGTGTGTATTGTAATAATCTTTAAAAAAAAAGATATACAAGATTTCTTAGTAAGAAACTACGATCTAAGGAGAAATACATTTACACAGAGCCCAGAATTAATTTTCCTGGCATTCAAATCAAACTTAACATTTAAAACAATAAATAGCAAAAGATACTGAAAATAGGGGAAAAAAGCGTACGACACTGCATTTTTCATACTGAGGAAATACACAAATTTGGATACAGTAGAGTGACAAGGAAAATATTGCTTCATCTCTACACTTAGAGAAGCCAATATCTAGCTTAAAATGAGGCAAAAGATAAATGTTAAGTATTTAAAGATTAAAGTTTACTAGAAGTTAAAAGATTGCTGTGTCTTGTGATAGTGGGTGTTAAGAGGTCCTAATTAAAGACTGAGGGATTGTAAAGGTAGGTAGATGCCTTCTTAAAATTATTTCTGAAAAATAATTGAGCCTTATAATGAGAATGGATATTTTTAAAGCTTTGGAAGGTGATATGTTGATACTGGTTTTATTTATTTATTGTTTAAATTGATATTTTTCATATGTTATAACAGATCTAGCTTTATTTATGTTATTTAAGATATCTAAATAATGGGATATTTTTGGAGTGTCATAACTGCATTTTGACCAGTCAACCAGTCAGCACTTTATTAAAAGCTCTGATAGTCTGGACAGCCAGTGAGGGAAACGAAGGAATTATAAGAAGCTCAGCAAGAAATGAAGGAATCAACGAAGCTGATTCTGTCTGGAGCTTGTTTGCTTGTGAGTTCTTTTTTTTTTCAGTAGGATTTATTTCAAAAGATAGGACCAGAGTTGACTGAATTGTGAATTCTCTTCCCTTATAGAAATAAAAGAAATTGCTGCTATTTATTTTTAAAAAGTTTCATGTTGCAAAGACTTTGCTAGAATGTCAAGTTTGTGGATCTGTAAATACCTTAAATATGACTACAACCTTAAGAAGGATCCAATCTGAGAAGAAAAGCTTCTTAGATAGCAATTATTAGTATATAATGTTTTGTATTTATGTAAGATAAACAGCTTTCTCAAACTTTTCTTATTTCAAGTCTTGGATATCTTTTCTGAATAAACACAATTGATTATAATGGTAATAAACATGCCAGATTTCATTATCATCCGTATTATTGCAGTAACACCGGGAGTCAATGATCATGCTGTCTGTCTGCTACTGTATCACAGTCAGAATTAAAAAGTGAGGTACTTAGTGCTTTGCTTTGGAAATTAGGAGGACATTACATTTTAGTAATTGACTTGTCAATAGTCCATTCAATAAGGAATAGTGCCTCATTCCCGTTTTGGATTAAAACATTTCTAAACATGGATGGAACTGCAGCCCCCACCTCAAAAACATCCTGTGAGCTCCAAAAAAAGTTGCCAATGTTTAATTCAAAAACTGCTACTTTTTCATTGTCCTTCCCTGCTGCTTTCCCTTTGTAATGCCAAGAGCAATCAGTGAACCTTAGCAACAGGAACATGGGTGTTAATATTCAGCAACGTTCAAAGAAAGCTATTTGTTTTCTGAATGGGAGCCAATGCCCTTTGGAGAAACTTTTTATAACGTATATCAAAAAATGTGTTGTCAGGAAAAGAGAACTGAGAGGAAAAAAAAAATTTAAAGTCCAATGAACTATATACATCCTGCATCAGGTCTGTGTATTTATGTATTGTGAATGTTTTCATAATTTTATTGCCTGTATGCTGCTTTCATACATATAATAAAATTATTTTGTGAACAGAAGGTCAAATAAAACAATCTACATTGCATTTATTAAATACATACCGGTTTTTGGCAGTGCTATTGATTGCGTTAAATGCAAGGACGTGTTCCTGTTTTTCCATTTGCCCTTATTTGGGATAATAGCAGTGAGGCAGATGGGAATTTTTATGAGAAGCAGGAGAACGTGCTCTGTACGGAGAGCTCTCTCAGCCCTCGCTCTGAACCAGGATTTTAAAGCAGTAAATGCAGATTTTGGAAATAACCACGGTCACTTTTTGTGTGGCTATTTAAAATGTATAGAGCCAGATTTACTAGTGACTCTTATTTCAGTGATTTTGCCCTGGTGTAACAGAATAGCAAACTTAGCTTATAGCATGTTTTTATTGCTACTTTTTTTTTTTTTCCCCCAAGCTGTGTGATACTTTTCAAAGCCTGATACAGTCCCATGGCTAGTGTCTATTTTTCAGAACAAAATTATTCATTTCAGGAGTGATAAGGTGGTGTGGCCTTAGCTGAAGTTCAGCAGTATCATTCTGTTAACAGCAGCCCTGTATTTTCTTTTTGTCTTTGTCAGTAGATTCATTTTGAAATTTAGGGGGGAAAAAAAAAAGAGCGAATCGGTCACTTCTGCCTCAACATTACCAGCATGACAGATTCAGCAGCTGGGATTTAGGGTGGTGCACGAGCTGCAGTGATGTCCAGCTCACCCTCCTTCAGTGCTAACGGGAGGAAGCTGGCACACAGTTTCCTAAATGCGGCAGATCTGAGGGCAGGCAGGGAGTCATGACTACCTCAAATCTTTCTTAGCGTCTTGGATAAAATTTCCTTGCACTGTGCTGATGCCTAATTTTTTCTGTACCTGTGAGGAATTATTTTACTGAAAAAAAAAACAAAAACGAATCAAAGACAAAGTTCAGTGGTTGTTTAGTCAAACACATCTGCCATCCAGAGCTTTTATTCTCAAAACTTGCAGCACTCGGATATAATGGCAAAATGTGATTTAAGGAGCTCCCCAGAAGTGATCTGCTGTTTTAATACTGATTGGTACTGGAATGATTTGTACTCTGAAAGAACGGTCACTCTAGTGTGACAAGGGGCCGTCCCAGGACCCTCCTCCTCACAGAGGGACCCGAGTTTCGAGGTGCTCAGCGAGGTCCTCGGGGAGCTGTTAGGCACTCTTGCTCCAAGGGCTAATCTGAGCCCTTCCTTTCAGTATGAGAGGCACCCTCCTAAAAACAGGGCAGAAGAGATGCTCACCTCTCTGAGTTTATTTTATTGCTTTCTCCCCCTCCTACTTAAATGAATTTTCCTTCCTGACTCCTTGCCCTTATGCACATTTTATAGCACCAGGAGTTCACCTTCATCCTCGTTCACTGGTGTACCCCGTTTACTTACTGATTTTTCAGCCCTCCTAACTCGAGCCTCTTTATCTGCCCTCTCTTACTTTTCTTCTCCCACCGCCAGAGCCGTGCGATCGCTCCGTTTGGCTTCGTTGGCCTTGACAATTCCTTGCTTGGGAGAAGGTTCAAATCAAAATCCTTCTGCCCGCAGCGGAGCCGAGAGTCACCTTCCCGCTGCTAGCGCCCAGAAATGCCGCTCTTACCTGTTGCAGCGTCTGGAGAACGGTGTCAGAGGTGATTACAGGGCACGCTAGCACATACCTGGTAACTGCTACTCTATTTATAATAGTGTGTCCAACCTGAACTCGCTGCTCTGAAGCCGGTATTTCCTGTTCTGCGCCTGCTCCCCAGCTGCCTCAAACCGGTGGTCTGCTGGAAGCGGCAGCGGTGCCACTGGCCGGGGGCCCCCGGAGTCTTCCCAGCCGCGCTGGGGTCCGGCGCAGCGCGCAGCAGGGAGGTTGCTGCTGAGGTTTGGCTGCAGCAATCTGGGAAGGCTGCTTCCCCGGCAGCGAAACGCAAGGAGCACTTACTGCTCTGCATTACTGGGCAGCAGCAGCCTCTCTGGCGTTTTGGAAGATTAGACCAGCACAAGTTCGTTTGCAATAAAGACTTTTTTTTTTTTTTTTGGAGATAACAGCCACTTCAATGAAATACTTCTCCAGGAACGTTTTCCTTGCGATATGTTGCATTGTGCAGCCAGGGAGAGCCACAGCCACTTAGCAACAGCACAGCGCCAGGACACCAAGACGTCACTGCTGCGATCAGACAGGTTACCCGCGAACCCCACGGGGAGCCAGGCAGCTCTTCTGCCTCCCTTGCCTAGACACAAGCAGCCTTTTCCTCTGAGTGGGATGAGCCTTGCAGTGTGCATTTCAGGTGTGCTCACAAATGACCCGTGTGACCTTTTTTCTGCATTGCTTCCTCGTGACTGAAGGTATTTTTTCATCTGTAGATGGAAGAGGTTAATAATTAGCCTGATGGCCTTGATGAAGGAGATATTTGCAGCAAATGAACCATAATCACTAGATTAAATCTGAATACATTTCTCCATTCTCTTAAGCAACATTTTATGCTGATTTGGATATCTGACTTAAAGCATACAAAAGACAGTGGATGAAAGAGTAAATGCCTTTGCTGATGTACAGTTTTAATAACACAGTTATTGGGAGCCCGTCCTGGATTTTTTCAGATCAATAGTTTTCAGAAGTACTGAGCCCTCAAATCTGATTGAACTCTTAAAGAGCTGTTGTGATCCACGTCTTAAGAAACAGGCCACGCCAGTAAATATTTTGCTGTTTAGTATAACGATATTAGAATATGTTCCTAGAGATACCATTTGTGTAGCCACACAAAGAATGTACCTTAAATTGTAAGGAAAACGAAGGCATCTATTTTATAATTTGTAAAAAATTAAAACACACAGTGTAAAATGTTCTTGCGCTGTTATGTTACAGTAGAGTTGGGCTGAGCAGAGAACTGGACTCCAGCTGTGAGCCTTGGATCTGGTAGGTATTATATCACCTCTTTGCAAACGGATCCACCTGGGAAGCAACACGGAAGGCTTCCCAAGCAAAAGAGCGGCTGCTAATTTTGCGGGATGGCACACCTTCCCAGCGCCACATGGCAAAACGAGGGGGTGCGCTTGGGAATGCCGGTCCGCACAGCGGCCGTGCCGCTAAGTGGAAACGGATCTCCAGAGAGGCGGGCTGTCGACCTGCTGCTCCTCCCAGCCAGGTATAAAAGTTATCAAAGCAGCCCTGGAGCTGTGTGTCCACCAATGCAGTTTTGAGGCTGAATGTATAAATCAAGTCTCCTTTGGTTGTTAATGTGTTGATTGTCTTTACATTCATGGCCAGAAGGAAATGTTAAAAAATGCACTTTTTTGCAATGTCTGCTTTTAGCCTATTTCTGGGAAAAAAACTGCTGGTAATAATATATGAGAAGGCTGCTGGTTTTGCTGTTCTGATGGCTATTGTTTTTCCATTTTGATACATTTCCCTTTTAAGTCCTGTCAGACTGGTCTTGCCCTTTTCCAGGAGGGACGTTTCAGTCATCTCTTGGGCAAAGGCCAGCCCGCACGGGTCCGAGGTGATGGCTGGGGTTGGCGGGGCTGCAATGACTTTTACACATCAAGTGGAGCAGCAGCAGCAAACCTGGGCTCCAGGTTTCTTTCTGAAACACTGTGTTTGGAGTCAACTGCGTTGCCTTTTTTCTGTCCCTTTGAATGGGATGTCTGACTGCTTTTACTCAGGAAGAAAACATGGGGATCAACGAGACGCCCCATGCCTCACTCGGCATTGCCCCGCATCTGGGGCAGGGGGCTCGCGCAGCTAACTTCAACTTAAACTGTGCTTTGCTCCA